ACTCGCGCGATCAAGGATATGTACGATGGGGCTATGACTAGGGTAAGGACCTTCGGGGGCGACTCTGAGTCATTCTCGGTAGGGATGGGGTTGCACCAGGGGTCTGCCCTTAGCCCTTTTTTGTTCGCCTTGGTGATGGACGTCCTAACTCAAGGTGTGCAAGAAGGGGTCCCATGGTGCATGCTTTTCGCGGATGATATTGTGCTTATCGACGATACACGTGAGGGACTAAACGATAAGTTGGAACAATGGCGCCTTGCCCTTGAGACTAAAGGGTTCAGAATAAGTAGGAACAAGACTGAATACATGGAGTGTCGTTTCAGCGGCAGAGAAACAGAATCAGAGGTGGAAGTTAGGATTGACTCTCACCTAGTACCTAAGGTAGACAGGTTTCGATATCTTGGCTCGGTAATCCAGGCTGATGGGGAGTTAGACGGGGATGTTGGACATCGTGTTGGAGTGGCTTGGGCCAAATGGCGGTTGGCTTCAGGGGTATTGTGTGACCCGAAGATTTCGCCCAGGATGAAAGGCAAGTTCTACTGATCCGTAGTCAGACCTGCTATGTTATATGGGGCAGAGTGTTGGGCGGTTAAGAAGACTCATGTGCGTCGTCTGCATGCGGCGGAGATGCGGATGTTACGATGGATGTGTGGGAAGACAAGGTTGGATAGGATTTCGAACGAAGTTATCTGACGTCAGGTAGGCATGGCGCCGGTGGAAGATAAATTGCGGGAAGCGAGGTTGAGATGGTTTGGTCATGTGAGACGGCGGGATGCTGACGCCCCTGAACGGAGATGCGAGCGGATTACGGTTTTTGGGGGAAGTAGGGGAAGGGGTAGACCTAAGAAGAATTGGAAGGAAGTGATTAGACAGGATTTAGGACTTCTCACCCTGACTGAGGATATGGCTTTAGATAGGAACCTTTGGAGAACTAGGATTAGAGTAGCTGGTTAGGAACTCGGTGCTATAGAGGTTTTTGTAGTGTGTTGTGTTTGTTTGGAATCTTTTATTAATGCTTGTAGAACTTTCTTTTCATTGTACTTGGTGTTTTATCCATGCTATTCTGTATACCCTATCATATCTTTTGTGCAGGTTGAGCCAGGGGTCTCATGGAAACAGCCTCCCTGCTTCCAAGTAGGGGCAAGGTCTGCGTACACACACCCTCCCCAGACCCTACTGTAGTGGGATCCAACTGGGTTGTTGTTGTTGTT